TGGACGAGACATCTGCCAATCACCGTATACAGAGAAGAACCAGCCGAAGAACAGCAGAGTCCTGCTAGAAAGTGCGGAGATGGTGTTAAAGTAGCTCAGTTTAAATGTATTGTCTGAATTGCCCTTACTCTGGAATAAAACATATGGTGTATATTTACGTTTAGTTAAAAGTGGCTGTAGAACATCAGCTCCAGCGGCGCAGATGGATAAGCGCGTATCATTGGCTTTTTGACGCGATCGACCCGGGTTCGATACCGCCTTTTGCAGAACTTTTTTCCCTCCCTTTTCAAATCTCGCATCACATCATAAAGGCATTTATTTTCAATAAAAATTAAGGAAATAATCAAAAAGTTGAAAATAAAGTATGGGGTAGGGTTAGGGAGGGCTTTATTGTCCCAATAAGACGGCATCCATTTAATAATTAAAATTATAATTTACACTCAATACGTTATTATTGCATACTGTTTTATAATGTACTACAATACTGAAGAGCAGATAATTGCCACTATTTGCAAGAAGTAGTATACGTGATAGTAGAAATCCTGCTATTTTAACATAGTGTAACTAAACGTAAATATACACCATCTCCGCACTTTCTAGCAGGACGCTGCTGTTCTTCGGCTGGTTCTTCTCTGTATACGGTGATTGGCAGATGTCTCGTCCAATCAGCGGAGAGTAATCCCAAACCAATGGTGCTGTCTCAAACTATACCCTCCTCTTCCGGTTTGTCTGATTCGTCGTTGTGTTTTCTGGCTTGTTATAATGTTTTCTGAATTGTTATTTTGTTTTGTAGACTTGCATTTGCGTTTGTAATTTGTTATTTTGTTTTCAGAACTGTGATTTGTTCTGCACTTCTCGGCCACCGTACAAATCCGTGTAAACACAGCTGGCAGTAAAGCTGAGCTGATAAATGAACGTCGATAGTTCTGGTGTTCGCTGCGCATGCGCGACATTCCGTGCGTGCGCGCTCTAGAGGCTGCGCTCGGCGCGTGCGTGATAAAGGCTCAGTGCTCCGAGGCGCGCGCGCGTGTGTAGTTTTGTGTAGTTTGTGTTGCTCATCAGGACAGACGCGGCTTAAATGTAGAAGCAGCGCAAGATGGCGGGTGTGTAGAGCTCGACACACACACACACACACACACACACACTCTCTCTCGCTCTCTCTCTCTCACACACACACACAC